ACGACTTGTTAACAGACTGGCATATTTCTCCAGGGACGGTTTATGTATAGAAGTTCTTAAAATAATCTATTTATTACCTTCTTTGTTTTTTCATGAATCTTACTACCCGCATTATCTTTGTGAATTTGGAAAATAACTTTTTCTGGAAACAAATGTAATTTAACCTAAAACTTCTTAACGATGGTGAAGAGTCAATTGAATAAAAATTTTCTTGGATATTATCCATCGTCTAGTAAAATATAAAACGTAAAACGACGTTTCGGAGATGGGACTATATCTCCGTCTTCAGGTTCCTACACAGTTGGGCCCACTAGATAGAGCTAATCTCTATCTCCGGACAAAGTAAAGTAAGTCCCGGACTTAGCTCTATCTAGTGGGCCCAACTGTGTAGGAACCTGAAGACGGAGATAGAGGCCCATCTCCGAAACGTCGTTTTTTACGTTTTATATTTACTAGACGATGGATAATATCCAAGGAAATTTTTATTCAAATGTAATTTAAAACTTTTGGAATTTCCTTCTCCAGCTTTTGCTGAGATCTCGACCCGTGTTTTATTTTATAAATTGAAATCGACATTTCGAAACCTGAGTGGAATTTTTTATCCGTATTCTTCTGATTGATATTTATCTCAATTTTCCTTAATCCCCCCCCCGCCCCCCAGACGTCCATTCGGGATGGAATATAAATAGTAGAAACAGAGTAAGGCTGTCTAGATTTTTTATTTTCATTCTTTTATTTGAGCGAGAGCATCACTGCTTTACGACTATATGTTTCTTCTTTTAGTAAACTTCGAATCCTATTAATAAATGCATTGGCGTGAGCTTAATTTTGTACTTTATTTCATTTGACTTTACTGAATACGCGAAGGAAATCGCTTTACGTATTAGCTGTTTGTCTTGTGGGTTTTAGGGTTCCGAAGTATATGCTATTATTTTAGTAGTAGTAATAGTGGTCTAGCGGTTAGAACGCTGGCCTTGTAATCCTGGGGTCTCGGGTTCGATTCCCGGCGGTGCCCGAATTTATAACTTGTGTTGGGCAAGGCCGTGGTCTAGGCAACACGGAGTTTTCCTCCGGGGGCTTCCCCGGTTTCAATTACTCCATTCACACACAGAAGAAGGCAATGGCAAACCACTTCTGGATCATCTGCCAAGAACGTATATGAACAGGTCCTAGTCCGAGAAAAGGATGGAAGGATCCTGTTCATATGGACCTGTCGTCAGACAGAACACTAAATAATAATAATAAATCTTTTGTCTATAACGATTCGTGAATTATCTTTAACAATTCAAAATATATCACGTTTGTTCCATGCTGTTGTTTCCCCGTTTTCCTACGAAAAATACTCTGGTCTGTATTGCACTCTTTTTACAAAGGTCTGTTCTCTTGAAAATCCGAAGAACTTACACAGGCTAGCGATAATGCATTTTCACTTAAATCGGCCAATTAGTTTCCATGGTACTGATGTTTGTAAATGAATAACCTGGAGTCTGATACAAATCAGTGGTTAATATGGTCCCGAAGAGTGTCTGAAGCACTTTCCAGGCCGTCCGGGTATCTCGCATCAAAGGATAAAAATATATGGGTATCAGTACTGAGAAAATTGCGGATTTCGGAGACTGGCTTGTCTTGTTGCAGATTGGCAACAGTTCGTGGCAGACAAGCTGTCAGCATGGCGTCAGACCAATCTGGACTGGCTGCAGAACTTCACCGGTCCTATGTACATTATGTTCTACGACCAGCTGCTGGGGGATGTGACCACTCATCTGCAAGGCCTACTCCGATTCTTAAATTTTAACGTGTCCGAGCAAAATTTGGCCTGTGCCATAGAACGTCGTGAAGGCATCTATCGACGCAAAAGGCGAGTTATAAACTTCGACCCCTTCACAGCGGTAATGAAGCAGGCGTTGCGCAAGGAGCAGGATGCTGTGTTCGATGCTGTTGCCAATTATCCGCAGAAATCAGAGGCGACATCTGTGAACGTACGGTGATAACAGTGACATCTGTAACGAAGCAAATGACGAGCACCAGAGAGGCGTGGGCGTTGGAATATTGTGGATAACGATGACGAGGTTATAGACGAAAATGTATTACTGTGGAATAATTCTGGAAGGTCTTGGAAGAGAAAGGACAAGAATGCAGACAACCCACACAAGAGAAACTATGGATTGAAAGCAATAACAGGATGTTAATAACGTAGATAGATTCATATATTGTAAATGAACGTCACTCGCTTTCACCTAAAATAACTATACGTGGTCTCTAACAGATATAGTATCGAAAACGGATCATAGTATAACTTGCAAAGTATGACAGTTCTAGAATAATTTAAAATTAACTTTCATAAAAATAAAAATACTGTGTAGTTGAATACTATTGTCAGATTTCGCCGAAAAAAGACGAGAATTTTGTTACTCCGTGACATTAATAAGCGGGAATTATGATCATTTTATTCCAGAAGATGTCAAAAAGGATGATAACAGAGACATGTAATCAGAGTACCTTTTAAAAAGTCATTGGTGGAAACTAGAGGAAGAATCTCTCTTTGTAGAAATAACATTAGCCAGAAAACGAAAGATGATGTATCGTGAGAAGAGTTGAGAATGAGAGATGTCAAAGTTACTGAAACTTAACTTTGTTATCGATGTTTTGCATAAGAATCTAAAGCAATTTAAATCAAAATTTAATTGAATGTGTGTAAGATAGTTGTTCGTCACACAAACATAGAACAGGCTTTATCATAACAGTTAGAAGTTAGTATTATTTTGTACAGTCTGGCTTTCGTTAGAAGTATTCGTTCTGGAACTTCTTTTAACAATAATTTTGTCTCTCAAATAGGCCTACAGTGTGGCTACAAAAGAACAGAATTAAAATCTCAGTACAGTATTTGGTGCTAATGAAATGAAACAGAAGACACTACTGACAATTTCCCTTTAAACCCTTCAGAAATCGTTGTCTCTGTTTCGAAACACGCTACATACCTTAGAAAGAATTTGCCGTTCATATCAATGTGTGTTTGTTATGTGGTATAGTGCGATGTATAATTAATTTCTCCTCGATTATCCTAGCTCATACGGTAAGGCAATAACGTGGGTAAGTGATACCCAAATATCTTTGTACAATAATGTCCATAAAATAAACAATACAGTGTCTCGTTGGTTTATGTACAATACTTCAGAGATTCCCGTCCAATAACGCTTTCTGGATCCAGCTGAAAACATACATATTTCTCAATTGTAAGACGGATCTTACTCCGCGGCTTATGGTTAGCACTCCTGCTTCTTCTTCAGCAGATCACGAGGTTAAATTTCTGCCCGAAAACCGACGAGTTTGATTGAAGTTTTTCACAATTTTCTTAAGTCCCTCCAGCCAAGTACCAGGGTAGAACCTTAAATTAAATCATAATGTTTCATACCCTTTTCAATTCATTCTATCACTAGCTGCTGTATATTCCGAGATACTGACATCATCGTTAAATAAACCGCACATAATGACAAAAAGAAATACATATTAACGTATATTTTGTTTTCTAAGCTTTGTTTCATTAATAGGTGTTCAATATAAATACCAGGCTCTCAAATGCTAAGCTTCTTTTTTATGTTGTTATAACGGTTTGCTCACACCACTGCAAGTTTGTATCCACTCAGTTAAAGCGAACAGTGAAATTGGAAAAGAAAATGAAGGTTAACAGCTTTTATTTGTTTAGTGAAGTAAAAGCTGCTTTATAGCGTTCGAAAACTGCCCTTTTACGTGCAAATATTATACAGAGCGCTGAAGTACACACCTACGTCCAGTCTAACTCACACTGCGTAACCACGGGATCATCATAAAACCAGTTCCGAGTATTGTAAATTGCCTTCATTCCCTCTGGTTTTATACTCTACGTTCTTGTTGGTACAAAACACAGTAAAATGATCTAAGCACCTTTAGCTGTATGAAGGGGTTGGTGGGGGGGACTTAGCAATGAACTAGCTCTCTGGTCCACCAGGACGGCGAGACGAACGCGATAAAATGTTAATACTTCTTTTAAATAAATAAAGCAAATTGAGTAGAACGACTTTCTGTGTACATTCTTGGCATGCTGCACTTCAACAGTTGAGTTTTTAGCATGAAGCTTTCGTCTGTTCTTTCATGTGAGTTGGGGTGAGTGTACATTAATTTAAGCGTTACCAACTCACACACGTACACTTATATTTTTTATGCAGTAACATCATTGATGGTATTAGTTGAAGACGATCAACATACTCATTGCGCGCTGCTACTTACTACTTTCGACATGTTTGTTTGGGAAATTTGTTTAATTTAATTTTAAGTGTTGGCAAAGCAATGTCGGCTTCGATCTATCGTAGGAAGTCATCTTTAGCTGTGATCTCTCGAAAGTAATTGACAGTAGCTTGTGCTAAATCCGTAGTATAAGTTCTGATATATTTGTACGTTGTTCCATGGCCCTTTAATCATACGTTCCCTTTATGTTACCAAAAAATTTCCATCGTAGATGCTGTGATGTGCTGCAGTATGCGCTGTTGTAAAACCGTAAGTAAACATGGTGTCTAAAGATTGTAAAAATATGAAATTGGTTCTTTTCTCATGTTGAGGCATTTCATTTATATTTTTACAGAAAATTCACAGACGTTCTTTTCTTATGTTCTAGGAGAATTGAGGCGCTTATATATCTGTAATGGGGTTGACATCTCCGCTTAGTAACTTGAAGGGGTTCGCGACGAGCCGCCCACCTTTGGTCGTCTTCACAATTTGTCTTTCAGTATTTTCTTTGACCACTGTGTCTCTTGCTTACTTCATCAGGTATTCTGGAAAAATTCCAAATCAAGATTTTCATGTGGTACGTACATCATAAGATCGTAATGGCAGTAGTTTTCTCTCTTTGCTCTTTGTGTGCTGTTTAATTTTTGTAATATGTATTTTTTTGTAGTGGTTGATTTTGGAAGGAGATAAATCTCATTTATAATAAATTAGTTAATTATGTAGAATGATTGTGTTTTACTTTAGTTTCAGTCATTTTTGAAGGTAGATAAGTCACTGCAATCTCAGGAGATTGGTTAATGTTTGATATTTGTACTTTGTTGTTTTCCAAAGCCCCTGCAGAAAAATTCTGGAACAAGAGCTTAAAGTAGACCATGACTGCTTCCTTCTGCACTCTTACCTGTTCTATATTTATTGATCATCATGTAATTTGACACTATATAATGTGGACTAAATATCTGTGCAGTGTAATATCTGTTCTACTGATTAGCTCCATTAGTAGTAGAATTTATGACTTCATGCAGTATAGTGTCTTGACGGTTGATAAACTCTCAACTGTATATTTATTTTTGCAATAAACAAGCAACAAAACCAATGAGGGAGAGGAAATCACAGATAACACTGGCCTGTGAGAGAGGTGATAGTGTTAAATTTCATGGAATAAATACAGCTCAGTGTTTTCATAATTTTCAGGACTGGAATAGGTTCCTGAAGCACCTGAGCAGTTATGAGTTATGTGCTCTGCCAGACACAACTAGCAACAGTACTCGAACAGTGGATGAGGAACAGAATGACAGTGTCGGCAATGTATCCATCACTGTGACAGCTTCATTGAGTCTTGTGCAGCAGCTCAGTCCTCTACAACATAATATAACAACAGTAGCAGGATTTCTGCCACTTGGAGGTATGGTTTAGACACACATGATGCAGAATATAATGGAATTCCATCTGCCTTCATTGACTGCATATTTCTGATGGCTCCAGTCTTGAGATGGTTGATGGATTCATACTACACGTTGAGGAATGTCTGTGTAACTAATTCAGTAGACAGTCATAAGCTTTTGTATCACAGGTTCTTATAATGTACAGTATTGTGGATAGAATAAGTGCTGTGTATACCCAGGCTAATATCCATAGCAAGTGCATGTGTGGAAACAAGGGAAGAACAATAGGCTATACCAATAGAAGATTTGTGATATGAAAAAATGTAATTTCATGATTATGACTATTTTTATCTGTAGAATTTTACAAAGTGGATTTAGAGCAATACATATGTGTGGCATGTTACTGTCAATACGCCTTTTTTACAGATATATAGTCTCATTGCATGTGTTTCAGCTTGATTAGGCCATCTTCAGGTACATTTCATGTAACTCAATGCAACATATCTCATTGTTGCACTGAGTTTCTATTGTTATTCCATATGTTCCTTCATTCTTTATAGCCTTTCAACAAACTTTTAATTCATATAGTAGCCTTTAATGGTTTATGACAGTTGTGGTTGTGATTGTAAGAGAAGTTAGTTTTCTGGTTCTCATGCTAGAGAGTAAGAAGATCACTTTCTTCTGGCATGTTGCACAATTTAGTTTCATACAAATTGACTGACATTTGATGAGTGGTTACTGCTGCTATAATAAGGGTGATGATCTTATCACCCCGGTGATGGAAGCAGTAAGCACCTCTGAAACATCAATCAATTTCTGTGATACATCCCAAAAGGCAGTCATCTTCATGGCGAATGAAGACTGATGTATCATCTAATATACATTCCAAGAAACAGAACCTCATACGCTTTTTGACAAGTAATAAGAATTAAAGGAAAATATAATTAAGAATTAATAATGAGAAAATTGTAAATCCTACAACATATTGAACTATAGAAAATTTTCAATGAATGTATTTAAAGAATGAGCTGTGGTAGGATCCCCTACAAAAGTATAAAATATCAGCGTGGAGGAAGGAAACGTCTAAAAAGTGTAAAGATTCTCTTCTGCAAAACTTGTAACTAGCAAACGAGGCATAGTAATTTGTGGTTTTATGACTGATTATGATGAAATAACTGATCTGTGGGTTAAGTATTCTCAGCTGCTTATAATGTTGCTGGCCTTATATCAGAATTTGTTGCTAATCTAAGGAGACAGGACTTGTCATGTTTCAGCATGGAGCTCCATGTGCAAAACAGAGTCACTAGTTGGAGAAGGGGCTGCACTTAACATGAGCCTCACATTGCCACAAAACCTGTCCCAAGCTGATGATGTGTGTGTCACCTTTGTTGGTCCTCGATCCCTCCTGCCTGTGGTTAGCACCTCACCTGCCTGTACACCAGTGGCACCTCAGCAAGGACTCTTGGGGAGGATGTTGGGGCGAAGTAGGGATGCAGAGGTGCTGGGTGAAAGAGATGATGATGACTGGTGCAAAGGTGGCACTGTTATGAGGTTGGTGTACCGATCCAGTCCTCAGCTGACAGTTCTGCTGACTGGGGTATGTATTGTTTTTTGCTAAGCTTTTGGTACTTCTCCTTCACTTTGTAGTTTGAAGCCTGACCAAATTCTCTGCAGTTTTATTTCTTACTTTCTGTCTCTCCCACCCTCCATGATATAAAGTTATGGTGCTCATTATGACTGTTTTCTTAATGCCTTAAAATTATCATTGCTAATCACCCTCTGTTTCTCATTTGAAGTCAGGATGGCAGGTGCTGCATAAGTTAGGAGAGCTGACCTGCTGTGTGTGTTGCTGTACTCACTATATTCTTTATCTAAATATGTATTTTGGCCTTCTTATGAGTGTAAACCACATTGTCCAGTTTTGACTAAAATTACTGTTAGTAAATTTTAATAGAAGTTTTGTAAAATGTTGTCACAGTCAGATCATGTAGAGTGACATTACTACAAAGCAAGGAGAAGTGGATGGACATTATGCAGCAAATGTATGCTCTCCTGCAGGTTTATATAAAGAGCTAAGAAGTGAACAGTTAAAATATTCTGTGAGCATTATAATTTGAGAGTTTATTCACTTCAAATTTTACAATACTCTGTTAAGTGTACTGTGTTTGATTTAATTTATACCCTTTCAGCACATGAATAAGTTACATAAATTATCAGTTATGTGTAAGGACTTCCTTGAAAAGTGTTAAAATTGTTGTTTACTTGCATTTATGCTGAATTATAATAAGAAAATTAAAATGTTGTGAAGCCAGACCCAATGTATTGTTTGTTATATGTTGTTTTTCAGAGTGACCGATCCCTCATCAACCTGCATCTTATTCACACCAGCTACTTCCTGTTTGTGATGGCCATGACACTGGTGTGCTATGCAATCATTAAAGGAAAGCCAAAGCAGAAAAACATTCTTGTAGACAAGGTATAAATTATCAATGTTGTTTGTGCATATGTCATGTACATATCATGAGGAGAGAAAAAAATTGTTTCAGCTGTGCAGTTATACTGAATCATGCATATACATTACAAATAACAGTAGTAGAATGGTGTATACCATTTGAGAATACACTGAGATTTTGAATGCATTGTTTGTGATTCCACATACCTCGATGGTCTCTGTTAACTTAATGTGACATTATTATTGATAATGCGGTGAAGTATTTTTGGGTGACTAACCATGTGAGTATGGATGTCAGATTTGAGGTTCTCAAAGTAGTCAATATGTTGATTGTGATCTTCTGGACTGTATGACCACGTGGACTTGTAGGTGGGTACCAATATTCTTGAGGAACATTCTGCCTCCATCATCAGCCCTGAATGTTCCCTTCAAGCACCGATACATACCTACGCGTCCACACATTATAACAAACTGAGAAGTTGACCATTGACATGTGAGTATGGAATTAGTTTCCAGAATTTCATAGACTGTCTCTGCCTTCTTCATCAGGGATTACTGTATAAATATAGTTACAATAGTTGCATCCAAATAAAGTTACTCAGCTGTGAAGATCTTTCACTGTGTAGAATTTTCTTTACCTCATGTTTAGTGTAATGTTTACCATTTTGAAAATATCCTATCCAAAGGATTGAGTTCTTTTGATAATCTTGCCAAAAGGTCCAAGCACATTCTTTTCTCATTGTTTACCACTGAGATTTGTTTGGTATCACATTCAAACATGTTTTGTGCTTTCAGGTCTTTGGTCAAAGTTATGCTTTCTCTGTTCAAGTGTCCAGTTCTTCTGTCTTCCAGGCTGTCAGTCACCAATAATTTTTTACTATTTCAGTCACTTCTTCCATATTTGGACCAGTTCTTGGATGGCCATTTGTTTTGTCATCTGTATCATCTTTCTTTCCATATTGAAATTATTTAATCCATAGAAATACATGTTCTGCTTTTTGTTCCCTCTTCATAAACTTGCTGTAATAATGTGGCACATTTCTCCATCTTCATCAGCAGCAGCAACAGTCGAGGATTAAGCCAATTGCTTATTTTACCCTTTAATCAGATCATCTAACACAGAGATGTCCCATGTCTCTTCTGACACGTCTTTTCTCATACACTTATTTGTCATCCTAGAATCTGGAATTCTTAAAAGATTATCCATCTGATTTTGGTGATATTATATTCATCCATTTACTTAAAATATTTCTGATTTTTTTCTTATGTGTACATTTCATTTATGGTACAGTATGGTATATCCTTGGGGCAGTCAAAGCCTGTAATAGGCTGTAGAACCCGTGATGAGGATGATGGTATATCTTGATACTTGTCTGAGAAAGTGCATTTCAGCATTGTGTGTATTATTGTGATTTCTCTTAGGCAATACCCATGTCTTAGGTCCATAAATTGAGACTGGTATTGCCATTTGTTCATATAATCTCTGTTGTGTCTCCTTTCTTGTCTTGTTATCGAGTGTATTTTGAATGGCACTGCATACATATAGAAACTTTGATAATTTTATTAATTTAATGTTGCTTCTCTGTTCCAACAATTTATCACTTATGTTGTTTAAACGAACATAAATAATATAGCATAAATAAAAATCCCTAACTGATAATGAACTTAATCCCAATGATACAAAACTCCAGAATCAATACTCACATGATCCAGCATTAGCTTATTTTGCAGTGTTCCCTATAGCTGCACAGAATCGTCAGTCTAATTTTTTATCTTATATTATGTGAATACACATGCTACTTCTTTATGCAGTTTCTTACAACTTTCTGTGACAGAAATGTTTTTGTGTGTGATAATCTGGATAATAGTGCAAGAATTATGTTGATAACTGTAAAAATAATAGCAATATAAAGGGATTAGGATGAGAATTGTTTCAAGTATGTTCATGTAGTACTGTACTCTTTTCATACTTTTAGCATCACTGTATATTTCTTGCAAAGTATTGATTTTAATTGTTTTCTGTGTTGCAGGTACAATTGGATCCTTGAAAGGACATCTTGTATGGGGAACTGTGCAGAGCATTTGAAATTACCATCTGCGAGATAGATGTGGATTTCAGCAATATCTCTGTTAAGAGACTGTGATTGATTAAATATTGATGGACATCGTGTCATATTATACTTCTTTATTCACAAGAAAATTGTGACTGGTTTCAGTTACTATTTGTTGAGCTTGAGTAGAAACACTTGTGCCATGGAAAATAAATTATTTTAAAACAGGACCTGTGAAGTGTACAAAATATGTTTGTAAAGATATCCCAAGTATATGATCATGGTTTTACACATTCATATTTGATTTTTAAGCTTTGTCCTGCAACTGATAATATTGCATTCACAGTTCTACAGTTCATTTTACATACATAGACCACAAGCATATGATTACATTGGTTGTTTGAACATAATGTACCAACTTTTCTTTGTTCTGCTGTTGGTGTTAATGACAAAGTCTGTGCTTTATTTTAATTGGAAATAGTAGATGTTTAGCCAGTTTCTGGTCTTTACATTGTAAGTAAAGCAGTTTTAGTAATCATTTTACTTCACTAGCATATCCTGTTTTGTGGCATATCCAGAAAAGGTGCTATCTGGTACGATTTCCTGATGGACCAGTTAACCTGACTGACGGGTTTCATGGCTTTCTTCATATCTCCAGGAAAAGATTGGAATAGCATCTCAAATTGACCAACTTCTTTCCCATTCATCATTCAATATCATCACACCATATCTTTGTCATTACTATGTAACTCCAGCAGTTGATACAATGTCTTAAAATAAACATTCAGAACATGTCTATAATATGGCTTTTTTTTTTTTAGAATTTTTTCAAAGCAATCCATGTATATGTACTCACCTTTGTTTTATTATCTGCCATCAAAGAGTCATTTGGTGGACATTATAAAAAAACTTCCAGTCAGCAGCACATCACAGGCCTTTAGATGTGAGCGTATATATTGCATTTTATGAATGCATGATTGACATTTCAAGGAATTAAGAACATAGCAACTCTGACTCTCCTTCAGACTGCTACCTGATGGCATTGTTGCAAATTGAAAACTATGATAGTAACAAGTCATTTCCAGAAGAATCCAAGTGAACTATTTTCAGCAGTGCAGATATGCATATTGGAACAACTAATCAATAATTCTGTCAGCATCTGAGCATTAGACAATCTGTTTTAAGGGAAGAATAATTTGGCAAAAATATTTGTCTTTTACTGATTGCAAGGGTCCAAGTACACTGCAGATTGTGAGCAAACACCTACTTCTTGGTAGTTTTATTTAATTACATACTTCTATCTAGGATTCCTACCCTTCTTTTTTGGATCCTGAAGGAAACTATTTCTTTTTCAGAATGTTTTTATGAAGCCAATTTTTTTTATCCTCTTTCAAATTTCAGACAACAGTGTTTCATGATATCTATATTTTTAACAAGGTCTAACAATGATGAAAACTGACAACACAAAGCAGATCACTGAATAGTATGACAGACAACCAAAATTATATTTCTGGAATAGAAGACAAATGATAAGTAACAACACTAATGTCTGGGTTTATGTATAAAATTATTTAATAACACAAATTTATACTAGAATACACACTCATAACATTCTTTGTGGCTTGGTCTGTTACTGACAGAAAAAAACTCAGCAATTCAGTTTTTTAGGGGATCATATTTAAGGTCATTCTTAAATGTCTTAGGTTCTTATAGTTTTTACAGATGAGGGCTTATGACCTTTTCCATACAATAATTTTATTCACCGTCTTTACACAAGCTTTAGATTGTTAAAATCACATAAAATTATAACATTTCAACATATGATATTGTTACATTTTAAAATGACGACATGTTTCGATGTTCATTCCATCATCGTCAGGTCTATCAATTAAAATTAAAAACTGTTGCACTTGCTGCCCTGCGTATACTGATTTGTTCTACCCGTTAGATTTTATTTGTTTAACCTCCAGGCTTCTTCCATTTAATTTTTGAAGACTGCGCCTGGATGTCTTAAATCTGCAAAATCAATTTTAATTTTCATATCCTGATCCTGGCTACTGACATAGGAAATGGAATAATTTTAAAGAATTACTCAATATATCGTAATACAAGCAAAAGAAAAGTAATCACAAAATATTTAAAGTATTATAACATACCCTTTTCCAATTCAGGAGTAACTTGAAATTATGAGTTTGTTTTAGACTTTGGTATGACTCCTGGATAGAGTATCAGACTTGTTTGACATTATGTACACAGGGCAGCTCAATACAAAATGCAGACATAAATCACCTCTGATAGGATTCAACTCCATAATTCCAGTGTTCAGTTTTCATGACCCATACCTTACAGTACATGGTGCTAATGAAAATATTTTGGTATCAACAGAAAAAAAGTTACTGCTTTTATCTCTGACGTAGCATTTGCCTGTTCTCAGAGTAAAGAATCTTCCTTTATGAGCTACAGACAACAAATACATAGTTAGTTCATACAAATCTTTCTTAGAATGTTCCTGATTTATTTGGAATGTGAGGTTCAAGTTAGCACTGTATCTTGCATTTGTGCTTTGTAATAAATGCTGAACCATTTGACAACAGATCATATAGAATTAACTGATCTGGTACTGGCTAGTGAAACCAGAACAACTCAGAGAAAAGTGAGTCCTAGTACCACTTTCTCCACCACACATACCGCACAAGCTATCCAATATGTGAACCCTAACATCTACAGAATAGAAGGAGTGAGTAAAGAGGTAATCTTTCAATACAGGCTTGAATACCTTTATATCATAATTTAGACTTTTAATTGTTGGTGGAAGATTATTAAATAACTTGATACCTGTATAGTACACTCCTTTCTGATATTTAGTAAAGTTAGCATTTGGCACATAGAGATCATGTCTTGTATTTAAATTATGTACATCTGTATTTCTTTTAAATTTATCCATGTTTTCCACCACAAATGATAGCAAGCAGAGTATAAATTCACTTGCAAGTGGAAGTATATTAAATTTACGAAATAATTTTCTACAAGATCCCCTGAGTAGTACAACTGTTCTCATGGCAAAGCATGCAGAGCTTAATTTGGGAATAATATACTCAATGTGTTTCTTCCAATTTAAGGTATTGTCAACTTGTAAGCCAAGGAATTTGTTTGTTTCAACTTCCACAATTAATTTTTCTTCAAAACCTATATTTAACCTAGGATATGTCTTGTGCTTAGTAACAAATTTTATGAAGTTTGTTTTTTCAAAATTTAGTGCCAGTTTGTTAGCTCTAAACCATTTGTTTATGTTGGCTGGTGCTTTAAAATGATGTTCAGTTAGACAAAGAATATGTGGTAATTTGGCACTTTTAAGAGAAATTATCAATTCTTCAGTTTTTGGGAAAAGTCCTCTGATGTTCTGATGGAAAACCAGATTTTCTTTCTGGGTGGTTTCTAAGTTTTTGGTTGAAAGGCCTCTAATTTTCTGATAATATAACATGAAATTTTTATTTTGATTGTGATCTAAATTTAGAACTGGCTTATTTACAGTGACTTGGATATCTTTCAGGAATTTAGTGATACATTTGGGCCTTAACCTAAAAATGGCCTAGGTCTTACACCAGTGATTACACTTGATTACGTATGTCACAGACAATACTACTAATGCCAATGATGCTGGTTTTAAGTAATATAACGTTTATATTAAACATTAGTGTTCTCTTTATATTCTTTTGATTGTGCGACGCTTACCTATAGCCATGCATAATTTTACTTTCATTACAATGTATCAAATAGTCTGCCATGTTGATTAGAGGCCAAGGAGAAATGTGAATGATGGCCACTGACGTAATTGAAATGCTCTGTGAAGTCCATAAAGATGGCGGATTTATGATGGATAATTTGATTTTAAATATATTGACAAATGTTAAGTATGTTTAGTAAAGAAGTAAATAGATAAGTATTCTAGTGGACCAGGTTAAATTTAATTTGCTGTCATTCACTCGCGCGTTATACTGTATGACAGAATTGTTTTGTTTATAAATTAAATAATCCTTGAACCTGCGTCTCACCAATCCATTTTTAGTAAGTTCAGTTGACATCTGATGGGAATTGGTTTCCCAGTTATTATTGTTATTTATAAGCTCTAAGGATGGCAAAAGATGAAGTGGATGATCTTCTTCCCGATATAGACGCAGCAAAGGGATTTTATGCCAAATATGAACCAAAGGAAATACTTGGAAGGTAAATGAATTCTGAGTGATGGGAAAATAACATAGTGTAATTTGTATGGGTCTGTATATAGTGGTATGTCCTCCTAGGGGAATAAGTTCAACAGTGCGACGCTGTATTGAGAAGGAGACAGGTATTGAATATGCTGCCAAGATTATAGACCTGAGCAATGACAGTCATGATGGGGCAGGTGAAGGAGGAAAGACAATGCTTGAATCCACTATAGAGGAAGTGCATATATTGAGGATGGTGGCCGGACATCCATATATTAGTGAGTATTGTGTTTTTTTAATGCACTGTGTGTAATTAGTACTTGCAGAGAGGGAACCAACTGTTGTCAGTAATTGAGTCAAGCAAATATAAATTATGTATCCCCAGAGTTTTTGAAATTGTACTTAAACCACAACTCCAGTTTATTACTTGATGTGTTTCAGAAAAGTAATTAAAATAACAAAATGTATGGTATATTTTGTGTTTGTTTGTGTGTGTGTGTGTGTGTATGTATGTATGTATGTGCAGGTTGTTCCAAAAAGATCTATACATACATTCGTTGAACAGAGTAAAGACATTTTACTGTATTGGCACTTGGTGAATTAGTGAATGTGGTGTAGGTGTTTAAAATGGTCACCATTAGTTTTGTGGTACAGTTGACAATGGTGAGCAACTGATTGACAAGTGGCCACCAAAGTTGCTGCTGGGATGGCTGCACAAGACCAATCAATTTCTAGCTTTAGCTCTTGAAGTGCTGTAGGCTTTGTGATGTGCACCTCCTCCTTTAAGTAACCCCACAAGAAAAGTCTGGTTGGGTTAAATCTGGCGAATGTGGGGGTACTCTACAGATCCTCTGCATCTTATCCATTGGTCGGAAAACGTGTTATCAAGACAGGCCCTGACATCACGATGGTAGTGTCAGTAAGATGTATCATTGTGTACCGCCGGAAGAAAGCCCTCTGACTGTTTATATGTAGGGGTCTGTGAAAACTTGCATTGTAAGGGTTGAAGTAATAAATGGATATGAAAAAGGAACTAAGTTAATTTTTGTTAAATGGAAGTTACAATAAAGTTGAATTTTGGAAGAACAAAAATGTATTCTGTTATGTCTGTATAACAAGCAGCATTCCACTGTATGTGAAGTTTGGTAGGATTTTAGGTTTTCATAGTAATGAGTCAGAAGATAGCCCTATCTATGAAGTTTAGACATTGTACAGTTTCAGTGAAAAATAATGTTGGGCAGATATACACTTGGGACTTTTGAGTGATCACTTGGATATTTAGAGGAATGTAAGTGAAGTTTTTATTGTTTAAGAAATACAGAATTGTCACTGTGGGATTTATTTTTTCAGTGGCAGAATGAGATACCTCTAATTGTTGCTATATTGCAACAACATTAAACTCAGTATACTGGTATTGTGTTCCAGTTGAACTGCATGATGTATTTGAGTCAAATACTTTCGTCTTCCTTGTTTTTGAGCTGTGCAAGAATGGTGAGCTGTTTGATTATCTAACATCTGTGGTAGCACTTTCTGAAAAGAAGACAAGGCAAGTAATATAGGTTTGTTTATCTATACATTACATATAAAAAGTATTAGGCAATGTATAAAGACATTAGCACAATACAGGATTACTTTTATAGCTACCTAAAAGGGATTGTGTTGAGGTTTGTCTTTTCTTCTGTCTAGCGTATCTTCAGTTTGTCATGTTGAATGATACAGGTACATCATGCGACAGCTGTTTGAGGCCCTGCAACATGTACATAGTCACAATATTGTGCATCGTGACTTGAAGCCAGAGAACATTCTGTTGGATGATAACCTCAATGTAAAGCTCACTGACTTTGGCTTTGCACGTGTCTTGAAGCCGGGGGATAAACTGTTTGGTGAGTTACACTTGTCATTACCTGGTAGTTATGGATTAGAAATGAATGTGTGTTCCTAATAATCAGTAAATAAATGGAAAATGTCTTTAATATTTTTAGTCCTGGAACACTGAACCTCAGTGGAAGGTCATTAATGCTAGACTCTTTTAAAAATTAAGGCTTAGTTTTATTTGATATTATTTTTTATAAGCTAAACATAATTTTTTGGAAAAAATCATTGTATGAAGCATTAACACTTACAGTGAATGTACTTGTCCTCATCACAATGCTTCGTGATCTGCATATATAGCCCTTGAACTATACAGCAAAATCCTGATTGTCCGTGTGTGGATTATCTGTGCATAACTATTTTTACAGAAGTGCAGGCACATGTGAACTAGGCTTTTTACATATGAATTGAAATTCTCACAGTAGTCAGTAAGGAGATGGCTGCTTTTGTGTTGTAGCTCCATGTAGTCAACAACAACAACAACAACAACAAAAAACATCTTTACCTTACTTTTCTTCAGCATCTAAAATTATAATAAAGAAGAAGAGAGGATGAATTTATTAACGTTGTTGCTAAACATATGTATTTTGTATGACAGGTATGTGTCTCAGTGATAAACATAATTTCAGTGATGCAAATACATTACTTATTATAACTACTGTTAAGCAACTAATAGCAGTGAGAAGTAGTAGTATTGTACACTAGAGTGTAATAAATCCCTGTGGCATGTAGCAGGAGAAGTCACATGTTGCACCACTAACATACTGAAAAATGTTGTGTCCTGATATTACTTTAAAACATTGGAAGTTGTAAAATGGGCAGTAATAATAAAACAAATAAATTAAAATGATAATATGGGCAGTGGAAAGCAACAACAAAGATGTGTGACAAATATCTTTGTACAAAAGACCAGTGTTCTGAACTCGGGTATAGGGGGGTTACACATGCACACATTACTTGCCTACGAGACTACTTATGCCACAGAGACGTTCGTAAATTTCATGTACATTAGTGCTCCACACAAATGTAAAGGCGGGAAACATACAGTTGGAATTGTGTTTCTGTGAAATCCTCATTTTTGTGTGCTTGTGAGGAAACAGAGGAACATACCTTAAGCTCAAGCTTAGGTATAGAAATTAGTAGAAGTAGACATATGTGATTTTCCTCATCTATGTGATGGCCTCCAGAACAGTCATCTCTCCTTCTAGCAGCCCTTGGTAGACTGTGAGTTTAACATCAGATCATCGGCTTATTGCTTTTCATTACAGATCTGTGTGGAACCCCAGGGTACCTTGCCCCTGAGGTACTCAAGACCAACATGTTTGAAGATGCAGAAGGCTACTCAAAGGAAGTGGATATGTGAGTTTGTTTAAGCATGTATCTTCTTCTTCTGCCTTTGCTTGACATTGAATTTCAGCAGTTACATTTTATGATTTTCTGGCAAAATTCCATATAAAAAATTACTTGCCATAGGCGTGCTTCAAAACGTTGCCAGACAGTGCAAACCATATACAAAAATATAAAGCATCATGTCATGAACTGTTAATTTTTGTAATCCTGTACTTAGATCAGTGGCAAAAAAAGGCTGAAAGTGTGTGTGTTGGTATATGAACCTTCTGTATCCAACATGCCTGCCATTTGAATAGCTACATGTACCTGGTACATCTAGTTATGAAGGTAAATAGCTTTCCAGTGTTGACAGTAAATGTAAATGTAAAGATTATGTTGCAGTCAGTTGTATTATCCCAAAATAGAGGTTGGTTTTAATCCTAGTAAATTGTTGGCAGCATTGAGATTTGAGTTTCTTACTTGGTGAAGATGTTGGTTGTGGTCTTCCGGGTTGTGATGCCTTGTGGTCTTGTATGTGATTACCAACATTTTGGGGGACATCAGTTAACTGCTGATGAATGTTTTCTTTGTTTCAGTTGGGCATGTGGAGTAATCATGTTCACACTGTAAGTAAGACTTTTGTCCATTGACTTTTTAAGTGAAAACTTTAAGGCAACTTAACGTTATCCTCATGGGAAGTTATTTTTTATTAAACATGAGACATTCCAAGTTAGCTTAGTTTTGCTACTGTTCAGCATTGAATATCCTTACTTACCTCCTAAATCTCACAAATGAGGTTAATGCATTAATAATCTAGAATAGACTTCCAGTTGTTATAAATGGAAATTGTGTTAATATCTACATCATCTGCATACAATTCAGCCACATATTTTGTGAGTGTTTTAGAGGTTATGTTCTGTTATGCTATGAAGGGATTTGTATGGTGGTGTATTAGTTTGTGATTATTTACAATTAGAAATACTTAGCAAGTGTGAATGAGGAGTTTGCAAAAATAAATGCACAGAGGACTCAAAAAACTGATTGTGTTGTATTGATGTTTATATATATGTGTAGGAGGGTTATGTAATAATGATATGGTGTATAAATTCAACATTTCTTTATAAGCACATTTAGGACTGTAGTGGAATGGGCTGTTGGCTGTGAACAGGGTCTGCACTTAGCATTTCCTTGTTTATTCTTTGTTAAGATATATATAAGGGGTTCTTAACCACTTCCAGACTTTGGTCACATTTACTTTTGCTTATCGATTTGCAGGCTGTAAGGATATAAATGAGGACAATTTATTGAAAACTCCATGGCAGTTAATTAGAAACATTGTGGTCTTGCACTGTCTTCT